CTCCTCCCGTTCTCCTTTTTTTTTTTTGTAATTGAACTTTTTTTATTTATTTAGAATTTTTACACCCACACAACATAAAATTTACAATACAAAATCAACATTCGAGAAATAATGTAAACAAATTATAATAAAAATAATAACAAAACAAAAAATATAACAAATATAAATAGTACAAAACCATATAACAGACAGTCAAATTGACAACTTTTCAAGTTTCTTTTTATGTGCTCTCCAAATATTGCAAAAAGCTACCCCATTTCTGATTAAAGGTATGGGTGGAATCCTGAAGTCTTGCAAACATACGTTCATATGATGCAGTAGAAGTCATTAGTTCAATCCAATCTTTAAATGAGGGAGTATCTGAGTTCTTCCAATTTCGCAGCACCAGTCTCACAGCAATAATACATCCTGCGACAACTAGTCCAGCCTGTGTTTTAGATATTCCGTTCTGTAAAATCGATGTATCACCAAGAAGACAGACTCTTGGAGAATAAGGTAAAGGTTGTCCCAGCCATTTCTCAAGGTTTTGAATAACTCTTGTCCAGAATGGAGCCACCAAATGACAGCTCCACGTTAAATGTAAAAAAGTGCCCACAGACTGACCACATTTCCAACAGTGGTTATTTTCCATTAATCCTATCCTATACAGTCTTACTGGTGTCCAGTAATATCGATTAATTATCTTGTAATGTATGAGTTTACTCCTAACATCTCTCACAGTAGCACCTATACCAGAAACTACTGCCTCCCATTCACCCTCTTCAAATTCCACCTCCAGGTCTTTCTCCCAGATAATTCTTAAATGATCACTTTTTCCATACATGTTGTTTGCAGCAATCTTATAAACAAAAGATGTGGTTTGCATCGACTTTGGCATATTTAGAAACCCTAATAAAACAGTTTCTTCTGCTCCTGGCTTAAATCCCACAGTTTTTATACTACTATGCAGCTGTATATATTTCCAGAAATCCCCTTTATCTACTAGATTGAATTTGTCTTTCAATTCCTGAAATGAATACAGTGTGCCTTGTCCATATAGATCATCAACTGTTTTCAGACCTTTTTTACACCAATCTTTCCAATAGATTGTTTTTTTTCCTATCTTAATAGCAGGGTTATTCCATAATGAAGAATAGCCTTGTTTATGATGGGACAAATTAAATATCTTATGTATTTTTTTCCAGACCTGCTATGAGTGTTCCAGTATAGGGTTAACTTCCCCATTCCTAATAGAAGATAAAGATTTCTGAGATAAAGCATCAATAACCCTGAATGGGAAAGTTAGCGTTTTCTCTATTTCGATCCAACTTATACACTCTACATTATCACCTGACCAATGTTTACATATTTTAATAATCTCAAATGCAGTATTATAAAGCTCTATATTTGGTAATGCCAAACCCCCCCTTTATTCTAGTGGTAAACATATTTTTCATACTTATTCTGGGCTTCTCCCGTTCTCCTTAAGAAAGGAGTCTCTCCAGCCCAATCGCTAGAAAGACAGGTGTTATATATAATTTCTGATGGACCTGCTGATTAGCCATCAGACTCAGAGCATGCTCTCCCCCCTTATTGGGTGTTCGATCACGCTTACCTCTCCACAGAGTTATTTCTAAAATTTTTACTATTATTAACACAAAACAGTCCCCCACAACACATGTACTGGGGGCTTTTTGGGAGGAGGAACTGAATTTAACAATCAAAGAAAATATTTGGGATTTTATTCTTGCAAGAATATATTTTCATCAATAAATGCTAGGCATACTCTCATTCAATTTAAGGTCGTGCACAGAATACACTGGCCTAGAACTAAACTGAATAAAAATTATCCCTGATCTTGACCCAACTTGCCTTTGATGTACAACCAAACCAGCCACACTGGTACATACTTTTTGGTCGTGTTTGAAACTGTCTGATTTTTTTGGTGAAAATCTTCAGGTGTTTTTCTGCTGTTTTTTCATTATCAATAGACCCAAACCCCTTCACAGCATGTTTGGAATCCTACCAGAATATGCTGAATTAAATTCATTACAGGCCGAAAGCGTAGCCTTTGCAACCTTACTGGCAAGACAACTTATTCTTATAAATTGGAAGTCAGCAACTCCCCCTTCTTTTGGCAATGGGTTTTTGATTTCATGCATGCTCTTTGGATGGAAAAGATTTGGTTTGCAATAAAACAAAAGCCAGAACAGTGGAGACCTTTTCTAATTTTTTTGTAAGGAGACACCTATATCTTAATTGCCTTTCTATCTTTCTTTTCTTTGTATTGTTTATTTTTGTTTGTTTTTATTTGTTTATTCTTTTATTTTTGTTATTTTATGTTTGTATATCTTTGTGTATAAATGTGGTATTTTATGTTTGTTTATATACTTTTTTAGTGTATAATTATGTTTTCCTGCAAATTTCTTGTTTGGTGAATTGTATCAGTGCTAATATCTATATGTATCTATATTTTAATGTCCGACCAGATGAACCTAATAAAAAATGTATGTTTCCCAATGGCTTTTTTCGGCAAGTCACATCATTTGGGTTGAAAACTTTGATCTATAATATTTAAATATCAGTGTTGGAAAAACATCTAAACATCAGCAAGTTTGAGAAGTGGATGTTGTCAGTAATATAAAATTCCTGTGAACACCACACACATTTTTATGTACACACACTCTAAAATAGTATTTAAAAAGTAAGTGGTAGAAAAGTTTCCTAATGAAACATTTTTTGAGAAAATATTTTAGGGGGCGACACGGTAGCTGAGTGATTAGCACTGTCACCACACAGCAAGAAGGTAACTGGTTCACATTCCGGCTGGGTTAGTAAGCATTTCTGAGTGGAGTTTGCACAGGTCTCCCTGTGTTGGCATAGGTTTCCTCCGCGTGCTCCGGTTTACCCCACAGTTCAAAGGCATGCGCTATAGGTGAGTTGAATAAACTAAATACCCAATCACTGGGAAACATATACACACTCATTCACACACACATATAAACAATTTAGCAAACCCATTTCACCTGTACCACATGTCTTTGGACTTGTGGGGGAAATCGGAGCACCCAGAGGAAACCCACGCGAACACCAGGAGAACATGCAAACTCCACACAGAAACACCAATTGACCCAGCCAAGGCTTGAACCAGAGACCTTCTTGAGGTGAATGTGCCACTGCTCCACCGTCCAGCCCTCATTAATCTTAAACAAGCAAACCTTAATGTGTGTTTAATTACTGGCCTAGACTGCATGCAGTGAATATGTATAAAACATTATTTTATAGAAATACCTCCCCATTTCCCCGATTTGAGACCATGCTGTTTGAGAAAGTTAAATTATTTCCATAATAAACACATGAGGATTTTATTTTACTATGCTTTTTTCAATCTGTTTTATCTTATTCTTTGGTGTCATGGTTTGGGAACCTTTCTGTTAAGAACAAATTGTATTATTTTTTAATTATGCTTTAAACAAAAGATAGACAGACAATAAAACTAACAAAATAATTATAGGGTGATAGAAGGTAAATAATAATAACAGCACACAAAAAAACAAGAGTATAATTAAATATTTTTTTCTTGCAATTACAAACAAGCAGGACCTTTGCAAAAATCAAAACTCTGAAAATAAAACACAAGTGGACAGTATTAATAACCTTGCTAATAGCACTCTGCTGAGCAGTACAAAAGTAAATTTTAAGTGCCTTATGTAACAAAGTAGAACAGTGTTTTTTGGAAATGTTACTTATGAATATGAAACTTAATCAACAACAAAAACTTCATTGTTCAGATTATCATAATTATCCACAAATAACGTTTTCAAAATGCAAATAAAAATTAAAGAGTACCTTTTTTGACAGAAGCATCATACCAAAGCTTTTTAACATAACCACGGAACCAAAAGATGTGGGGTACAGTTTACAAATGCAAAGAACAAAAAGAGCAAATTATATCAATATCCTTTTTAAATATGAGAAAATGTTTAACCGGATATAATTTTTGAATTAGTTTAAAATATATATCTTATAGTGAGGTAATGATTCTTTTCTATTTAGGAATTATTTTTCCCCCAATACGTAATAGAGCTAGGCTGATCAGTCCAATAGTTAAGTGGTCCAGTAAGCTGACTGGAGTGTCACCATAGCCAATCTGGAGCCTGTGTACACCAGGCAGCTAAAATTAAAATTAAAGTGATACCGCTTATGCCCTAAACTCAGAGTTTCAGTTCCTTCATGTTTTAGTTTTGTATAGTTTCCTACCAGCAACCATTAGACATTTAATTAAGGTCTACAGACTAAATCAGAGTTATTTCTGTGATTAATGTATTTTACATTTTATCGATTGTTTTAAATATTTATTTATTCTTATTTTTTATTTTTTATTTATTTATTTTAAATTTTTTTTGGGGGGGAGGGGGAGGGGGGGGTTCAGTTGTTGTGATTCTTCATTTATTCTTTATTGTTTTATTTTATTTTATTGGAAATAGTGTGGCTCTGTTATGAAATGTGGACTCTTGACTGCAAACCAAATCTACCTTCAGGTATAAATAAAGTAACCCAAACTAACATAACCTAACCTATTTCTAAAATGACAACTCATTCAAAACCGTTTTAAGCACAAATTATATTTTTTATTCTCAGTAAACTCCTTAACAGGATAAAATGCTTTATAGACTTACAATAAAACTGTAGATCAAGCTCATAATCTTTCATTTTTGATTGCAGTTCATGTATGGAGGACCAGGAGTAACGTTTAGAATAAAAATCAAATGATCAATTTAATAATTGAAGCATTAAAATGTGTATAAAATAAAACACAATTTAAATGGACAAATAAATAGACATATTTAAATGTGTTTTTTTAATAGTGATTTTATTGACATTTATTAAAGCAATAAATCAATGCATTTAAAAAAAACGTTTAAATGTATAAATAAATAAAACGTTTGACGTATTCATGTGCCTTCATTTGGGAAAATAAACTCGACACAGCGCCATCTACCGGAGATGATGCGCTGCTGTAATTGCTCACAGGTTTACCTACACAAGCAGAGCTGTTGCCTGATTGGCTCACACAGCCCATCGTCTTTGTGTGCATCAGTGATGATTATAGATTAGACATTGGCAAAACGAGAGTGCGACTACCTGGCGTGAATTTCCCGTTTCATTCGTCGACGGCCTGTGTCGTGAAGAAGCGAATATGACCATAAGGAATGTCCGGGACCACGGGCAGCGTTACAGACCGCGGATGGCATGCCTGAAGAAGGTGGGTTGAGAGATCTCCATCCATCCACAGCTCCTCATAACCATCTCTGTTATTTACATTCTCGCCAAGGAGATAACAAATAATTTTGCTCTTGGTTTATACAGGTTTGAATTCTTATGAATTTTCTTATGGTCTTACTGTTATTGAGCGGACCAATATCGTTTCTTTAATCCTCATTATTATTACCATGGATTACTACAGGTTGACCGCTTCAATGGAGGTTTCCGTCCATTCTGAATTTTCAAGCTATATTTTTCTATGCTATAATAAACTTTTATTGTTTCAAATTAAATTAAAAACATTCAAACACTGCCCTTGCTTTGACCACTGAGGAACTTTTTAATTAGATTAATTAAAACGGGAAATTTTGCCATATTTGTTTTGATGTTAGTTTTATTAATTGACTTTGCATTTTATTCTGCACTGTCAATAATGATTTTTTTCAATACTCATGAATACTGAATTAAATAAGTGTGTGTGTGTGTGTGTGTGTGTGTGTGTGTGTGTGTACATTCCCCAGACTATAGTTTATTGTAATAGTTTAAATATCAGACTTACTGCTCACTTCCAATAAATAAAGTGACTGCCGAAATTAATTCACAAAATAATAAATAGTACATGATGTTATAATGGTAATAAAATATCATTTTACAAAGGGCTGCACAATAGATTGTTTCAGCATCAATATTGCAATGTGTGCATTCGCACTAGCCACATCACAGCTCTGCAATGTGGCGTCGGGATTATTCTTGTTGATCAGCAATGAAGAACGTACAGTGTTTACATTTTACATTACATTTGATTATTCAATAATAGGGGTAGGACAAAATAGCGATATGCAACTGGGTCACTTCTCATAAGTCTGAATCTAACATATTTTATTGGTGAAATTTTAAGAAATAAATGTTTTGTTAATAAAAGAAATACATTTATAACTTTTTGATGCATTTTTCCCCTTCATTTACAAATACCATGATATATTGTAGATAGTTGTCTTGTGATATATCGCTTATATCGTGATTTATCATTATCGGGGGCAAAATATCATGATAATATCGTATCCTATTACCGTACCAAAATATCTGAGTACTTCTTTCACTGTTATCTTTGCTCTCTCTTATTTATTCTTGCAATTTCTTTGATTCACTTCTCTACAAGGTTATTCCAATCAATGTTTATGGTTTCATTCCAATTAGAATTATTCAAGTCATCTGCTGAAATTGTATTAATATTGCAATATAAATCACAGCTATATAAAACGTCGCAATGTCAGATTTTTTCAATATCGTGCAGCCCAAATTATATTTCTAAAAACTTCAATAATAAATATAAATTTTAAGTTTAAGTAATGCATTACAAAATATTAAAGTGCACATTTTGGCCACTTTTAACGAAAGTTACAAAGAAAAAAGGTAACATATATTTATAAATTAAGGGAACAATTTAAATGCAGTTAAAAAGTGCAAATAAATATATGACATAGCAATAAAGAGAGCATATTTATTAATTGTTTATTAGCAGCTTACTCTCAGATGAGGTCACTGTGTGCTAATGTTCTTAGTCCGGCTCTGCCATGATCCTCTAATATAATGCAGCCAGCCCTTCTTCTATCAATGCAATACTTCAAACCGCATATGCCTCCAACAGTGAGTGTGATCCACTACACCACGTATTATTGGTGCATTACTTTGCTCTTTGCCAATGCACAGATAGTAACGAACTAATAACTCAGCCAAGAGCTTTCTGTGATCCAGACCAGGGTGCAGTGTGAGTTCACAAAAAGCAAGAAAAACTTCAAACAGCTGAGTCACAAATCAATCACGCAGTATATTTCAAAGGGGTCGCGGCAGCCCCTTCAGACCATAAACCAGCAGGGATGACTATACTTCACCGTGGCATAATTTACTGGGATGCGCACAAAGCTTTCAATTTTAAATGATGCTTCAAGAAAGACAACAGTGTAATTATTCAATTTGATTCAGTTCAGTTCAGTAAATGTGCACAGTTAATCAATTCTAAAACGAGTTCAGTTCAGCTATAAGCAGCTCATCAGAAGACAACAGTTCAGTGTTAAATCAATTGCGTTTAATAACAGTGTTGATGTTGTGAAATTCGTCTATTATGAAACAAAGGCCACACACAAATTTTGAAGGTCATAAATGGGAGCGACAACTATATTCACATACAGGAGTGAATTATCATTTTGTTGACTTGGTATCTGATATTTTTGACTGAAGTGATATTAGAGTGACAAATGACTTACTAAAGTCATACATTTTTTAACTAAACTTTCTCCTTGAAAGGTTGCTTTTCAGAGTCTGTACACTCTTGAAGTGTTGCCATGTTCACTTATTATACGCAACACGTTAATAAGTATCTTTGGGCTTAAAGTGAGAGTTCATGCAAACATAAAAATGTACTCACTATTTACTCATCCTTCAGTGGTTCCAAACATTTAAGTTTGTTTTTTATGTTGAGCACAAAAGAAGATATTTTGAAGCTGGGAACTGGTAACCATTGAATAATATTGTAGAAAAAAATCAATGTTAAGTCAATGGTTACTGGTTTTCAACATTTTTCAAAATATCTTCATTTTTGTTGAACAGAAGAAAGAAACTATGTAGGGTGAGTAAAAAGTTGACAGAATTGTCATTCATTCATTCAAACCCACGCGAAGTCGTGAACACGGGGAGAACATGCAAACTCCACACAGTAACGCCAACTGACTCAGCTGAGACTCGAATCAGTGACCTTCTTGCTGTGAGGTGACAGCACTACCTATTGTGCCACCACGTTGCAAAATTTTCAGTTTCAGGTAAACTATTTCTTTAAGTGATCCAGTTTTTGAAGTTAACAAAGTAGACAAATTGCGATACTTATGGCATATGGCTTATTAATTTGTAAGGTCACATGTATAGGTTAGTATGTTTTCACTAAGTAACATATATGTTGAGCCATGAAGAACATTCTAATAAGAAAACAGATTAAAGAGAGAAGTTTATAGTTTATTTTAGGTTTAGGCTTATAATTAGCTTTTGGGATTTTCGTTCAGGGGATGTTTAGGGGTAAGGATATTTTCAAACAAGAATGATGATCCAGGATCAACGTAAAGATCAATACAGATTACATTCTACATTTCTATTAGTTTTACATTTTTCAATACTTACCAAACAACACAACAACAATAAAAAAATTAAATAAGCATGATAATACAAAGAAAATAATGGTAATAATAATAATAAAAATAAATTAAAAGTGTAAGTTACTATTTTAAAAAATAGGGCAAATAAACTTTTTCAATGATACAAACACAAACACAAAGAGGCAGTTAAAAGGGGTAATAAGCATATTAAGCATTACACTGCTGCACAGAATCCACATTATATTGGTTCAGGTGATCAAGAAATGGTTGGCTTATATTGTAAAACTTATCAAGATTATCAATAGATCGCATTCTACTTGACAAAAACACACACACCTTTGTTTCCAGTGATTTCTTGTACCATGGTCATAAAAAAAGAAACACAGCTCTAATACAGATGTATATACAGTGCATCATTAGTAACCATTAATTGAGTTCAGTTCTGTAGACTCTTCTCAGATTGTTTGTAAAGATGATTATCACTACCTGCTTATTTTGGGAATTATTCATTTGATAAATGTGGTTGTTCCTGATACATTTCTGAATTTTGTTTGTACAGAATAGGGCTGCACGATATTGGAAAAATCTAACATTATTATATTTTGTGATATTCTGCAATATATATTGTGATATTAATACAATTTAACAGATGACTTGAATTTAAAATTTTAGATTGTTTGGGATGATAATGCATAAAATCTGCATAAATTCTTATAAGCGAATAAAATACATTGATAAATACATTAAAGAAAAGGTTACAATAAAAACAGACAGTGATTTATCATTTTCCAAGTTTTAACAGTTATTTAGGTACAGTAATTGAATAATAAAAATAAAAATAATTTAACAAAATTAATTAATATTAAAGTTACTGACGGTACAATTTATTATGGCTGAATGCTTTTAAAATCTTCATAAAGTCACAGGCTTCAAAAGCACATGCAAATGATACATTATAATACAGACTTGTCATCGCAAATCCTGCAATGTCACTATTGCGAATGATCATTGCAATATCAATGCTGTGCAGCCCCAGTACAAAACTAATTAAGTACTAAAATCTGAACTGAGAACCAAACTTAACCAAAAAAGTCTGAAACCAAACATTCAGACTGATACAGTACATCTTCAAACTTGGTATTGCTCTTATTTGATTGTGACAATCCAGAAAGATCAATAAACCAGTATTATTGGAAATTAACTGCCTAGGCACTTGAAATTCTCATTTTACATTTCCAACTTCTTTTCGTTTCTTCTGTTTTTTTTTTTTTTTTTGTTTTTTTCTTTTTGCATCATAGGTAGAATCTGTGGTGTTGGAGATGCAGGACCCCAAAACTGGTGTAAAATGTCAGACACAAAGGCTTGTTATCACCACCATACCACATGCTATAACAGGTGAGAACATCACAACAAGCATGGCGAGGGATCTATTTGCAGTACTTTCTTTTAACACAAAAAGAAAGAAGATTTCAGGAAAACACATAACAGTACAACACTAGACCCAGAACAGAAGCACACCTACATAACAAATAGGGCTGCCTTCTTATAATTGCCTTACTGTTAGTCAAAGGAGTCAAATTGTCACAGTTTGCCTTTTAGAAATCCACAGTACACTATATCCCGTGGATTTCTAAGAAGCAATCTATGACAAAGTGAATCACGCTATCCATGATAGACAGATTGTAAAGCGCTGGTCTAAGTGGGAACAGTATGTCAGGGCATGCAATTGGTCTTTATTCTTCAAGCTCAAAAAACAACATTACATGACCACTCTAGGGGCAACACCGTGGCTCAGGGGTTTGCACTGTTGCCTCACAACAAGAAGGTCGCTGGTTTAAGTCCCAGCTGGGCCATTTCTGTGTGGAGTTTGCATGGTCTTGCCATGTTTGCATGGATTTCCTCCGGGGTTTTCCGTTTTCCCCACAGTCCAAAGACATATGTATAGATGAATTAAATAAATTAAGTTGGCCATAGTGTATGTGTGTAAATGAGAGTATATAGGTGTTTCCCAGTACTGGGTTGCAGCTGAAAGACATCAGCTGTGTAAACATATGCTGGATAAGTTGATGGTACATTCCACTGTGGTGACCCCTGATGAATAAAGAGACTAAGCTTAAAGAAAATGAATAAATGAATGAAAGTGTCTGTGCAGTTAAGCTGTGTTCACTGCATGACAAATTGGGGCAGGATGTTATCAGTTGCTCTTAAAAGAACACTCAAAACATTTTTTTTTATAAAAATGTGCTCATTTTATAAGTATCCTAGAGCTAAACCCATGAGTTTATTATTTTTGAACCCATTCAGTAAATCTCTTGGTATGGCAGATCTTAGCATATTCATTGAATCAGATTAGACCATTAGCATCTTGCTAAAAAATGACCAAAGTCATTAAATTTTACTATTCAAAGTGTGACTATACTCTAGTTGAATCATGTACTAAGACTAAAGCTAGCTATTTTCAAGCTTCAAAACAAGGAACTTTGTTGCTCTACCAAGGCTGGGGTAGGCACAATGATATTACACAAAACCTAACCTAACCTAGTTCTGAATCATCTTTTAAAAATTATTTCATAGTAGCAAGATTCTCAGGCACTGCATAATACCAAAGCCATGGTATTTTAGCAAAATTCCTAAATTATTACAATTTAATTTAATTCATGCTTATTTATATAGGGCATTTACCATGCAGATTGTGTCAAAGCAGCTTAACATAGAAGTTCTCGTAAATTGAAACTGTGTCAGTCTAGTTGTCAGAGTTGAAGTTCAGTTCATTTTCAGTGCTGAAAGTCCAACCACTAAAGAGCAAATTAATCAATGTGCTGCTTCACAAGTCACAAACAAAGCAAGTCATTGGTGACAGTGGCAAGGAACAAACTTCACAAATTGACGAAAGTGAAGAAAAAAAAAACCTATAGAGAGACCAGGGTCTGTTGGGCACAACCATTTCTCCTCTGCCCAAACTACTTGTGCAGAGCTGAGCTGCAGTCTAGGCGCCGGAGGCTGCAGAACACTGGACGTCTATTGTGAAGAACTGCTGGTGTGAGTAGGTCACTGGTGGATGATCAGGCTGGAGCACGGGATAAATGCAAAGACTCATCTGTCACTGGGGTCTTTGAGGAATCAGACTCATGCTCTCCACTCCTCCATGAACATTACACCAGAAAGAGGGTTTAGGTTCTAGCTATATTGACCTAGAAAATAGCAACTTTAATTTCATTCTTAGTACACAATGTAACGACAAAAGAGTCAATCGTTAAACATAAAAATTATCGAAACTCTTTGGCCATTTTTGAGCGAGAGGCTAATTGTCTAATACAACCCAATGATCTATGCTAAGCTAAACTGAAAAATTCTCCCACTGGACCCAGAAATCAGCTAAATAGATCAAAAATGGTATTTATCTTTTGGAGAGCCTATTTAAAAAAAAAAAAAAAAAGTGTAGTAGTTCGTCATTACTACAATAATACAATAAAAATTTTACATTTCCAAGGATTTATTTCAGTGTACCCACAATAGAAATGAATCATTGGTCTTTTGTTAAAAGTAAAAGCAGCATTGTGAACTTCTGCGCATCAAAAAAACAACAACAACAAAAAGGAATCTCCTGGTATACTTGCCTTAGCAAAAACTCTAAAACTCTTTTAAATTAACCAGATCAATTGGAAAGTCAATAATCTTAGATTGATTAATCCAAATGAAACATGTAGCTGATTCCACTACTGTGGACATGATGAGTCAGTGTCTTCACCCCTGGCCAATAAACAAAGAAAACACAAGTTTATCAATAATTTATTAAATTGTTAATGCAGCTTCACTATGGGGTTTCCCTTACAAATTTCCTTGGTCATTTGTTAGGTGGGGGGGGGGGGGGGGGGGGGTTTATGTGTGACAAGCAGTATGTATGCACTTGAGCACTTATTATTATAAGCAATTAATGCCTTATTATTGATATCACCTTATACAATGTAGATTAGGCTGAAGCTTCTTTGCAAAGATGATATAATGTGTTATAGCAATATTTAATTTTGTTGGACATATTCAATTTATCAAGAAGGAAAAAGAATAGTGGTAAAACTGCTGGTGTAGTTCTGGTTATTCCCAAGCAATGTGCTGTTGCCGCAATAGTCCATGATTAATTTCAACAATTCTGCACTTAAAAAGTGACCTTTGCCACTTAGACAAAATGAAAAACAACAAAGTTTTTTTTTTTGTTGGGACAACTTTTTTTGTTCAACCTACTCATTTATTAATTCATTTGTTTTAGTTTTGGCTTAGTCCCTTTATTAATCCGGGAATCAAACTCCAACAACTCAAACAACCTACTCAAATTAGTAAAAAAAATTAAGTTGACTTAACTATCGGTGTTGGGACAACCAGCATTTGTTTACACTTTGTAATCTGTCTGTACCATCTTTATTACAGTCATACCTGTCAACACTGGGATGTGTAAATAAGGGATATTACTGAATATGTTCATCTGGAGCTTTTTCATTGTAAATAAACAGTTGAAATGGTCAGTAATATGTTATCTGCAAATAAATACAAATAGTTTAGCCTTTTCAAATGAAAGTGAATAAAATGATCAGATCTCATTACCTTTTCTTCATTTTAAAGTTTAAACATTCTGATTAAAGAGCAGGAAAGGAATCATTCATATAGATTTTTTGTTTGATTACATTAAATAAATACTGGTGTAAATAGGGGAAAATACCTTTAGGGGAAGACAGCGGGAATTGTAAAATACGGGAGAATCCTGATGGTTAACAGATATGTTACAGTTGTGATGTGGATGATTTTTAACTTTTTATCTTTAATTATGTCATGTTTGGCTTGAGTAGGCCATAATATAAAGTTTTAGTCACAGTTACTTTGCAATGCTTAAAAAATAGTTTCTTCAAATAGAATCTTTACAAAAGAGAAAATAAGAGATCTGAAAAGGCCACAGTGGGCTCGCCTACTCATTTGTATTGATTTGTGCAGTTATATTACTCCTGCTAGTTGTCAGTGCGTTCCATGCATTTCGAGACTGCTTATGTGTCTCTGAGACTGAAGAATCTATTGCCATGACAACCTCTGAGCAGCTGCAATGACTCGCTCCTCCAGGCTGTATGGTTTCAGGAGGAGAGCTCTTGTAATCTCCACTGTCTGTCATAATGCCTACAGTATATATATATATATATACTGAAAAACATGGCAACACCTGAACAAGTTTCATACAGGCAGAAATGTTATTTATTATTGGGCATTTGACAGTATCAGATTTTTTTCTTTGGAGAAATAAAAAGCTACATTTACACAGAAGTTATGTTAGTCTTGAACCAAAATTCAATGTCTAGTGAGCATTTAAGGTTATTTTGATATACTGTATTATTAAATCTCAGCATAAGTCTATCCATAAGTCTATTTATCAATACTGAACCAACCTATACACCATAATATATAAAGGTCCATGGTTTAAATGAATTAGAAATAACTCTATTAGCTAAAAATGGCATGTTGGCACTTATGTGTAACATACAGCTGGTGATTAACTGCATTGCTTAAACCTGATTGGAGCCACTGATTAGTTACAGCATTTTTGATGCAAACGATATAATGGAAAGACACCTGAGGTTTTTGTTTAAAAATTGATTGAAATGATACTATCTGCTCCTCGGGCTGGCAGGCACTAATGAAGGCACTCAGATTCACCCCTGCAGAGATCTTCTCATTAGTCTACCATCACGAGAACCACAGCGGGACACACAGTGGTGCACCAAGTCCTAGTGCGATACCTATTTTGAGAAAGAGCCTTTGTTTCATAGCTAATATGCACTGTTGTTTATTCATTTCATGCTTTTGATGAGTCTCAAAAGCCTGCTAAATTGATAAAGAAGAAACAGTAATGTGTAAAATACTGTGTAAAAAGGTGTAAAATATATATATATTTATATATGTTATCTCAGGATGTTTTAATTAAATGTGTGTGTGTGTGTGTGTGTGTGTGTGTGTGTGTGTGTGTGTGTGTGTGTGTGTGTGTGTGTGTGTGTGTGTGTGTGTGTGCGTGTCTGCAGCCATGCATGTGTGTGTGTGTGTGTGTGTGTGTGTCTGTGCTGAGACTCCTGGTGGGGGCATTTTAATAGATAAGCCAAAGCCTTCACCCACTGAACTGCCCTTTCATTGCTGTGAAACAATATAATGGTCACTGTGTTTTTTCCCTACTTTTGGTTTTTTAGGGGAAGATATTGTGGCATGGATTGCTTATCGATTCAAAGTAGATGCTCTGGGTAAGTCAAATACATTGTTTTTTTTTTGTGTGTTTAGTAATGTAAGGATTATAAAAGAATTAATAAAAAAAAACTAAACATATTTTTCCACAAATGAGTCCACTTGTGGGTTGGGGATGCTTTCATTCAAAAGGATTAAAACAAATAACTTTAAATCATAAGGTTGTGCTACAAATAAGCTGTATACATTTTGTAATACACATTATGTTATGTTTGACTTTATGCTTTATTTTTATCTGTTATGAAAATAACTTTAGACTTGTTTTTTTAAAGGAATAGTTCCCCTCAACGTGAACATTTACTAACTATTTACCAACCCTCAAACCTTTGTGAGTTTTTTTTCCTGACTGAACATAAAAAAAGAATTTTAGAAATATGCTGTTCTTTCATTGTAGGAAAAACAAATACTACGGAAGTCAATGGTTATAGGTTTAATTATTTTTCCCCAAAATATCTTCTTTTGTGTTTAAAATAAAAAAGAAACGCATAAAGGTTTGAATCAAGTAAAGGGTGAGTAAATGATGACAGAATTTTCTTTTTTGTGTGAACTAAGCTTTAGCTTTAGCAAATCTGTGGTCAAATCTGTTTAGAGTTAACTGGGTTTTGTTCTTCCATATTATTTTCTCCTTGTATTCCCTACAGTACAGTAATATTCAATATAAATCTATAATATTGCTTTGGAAAGACTTTTGAGTTTTTTGGGGGTTGCTTATTGCTTGCTGAAAGTAATTTGTTCCTTCAAATAATTTGCTTTTTAATATTCAATGAAAGAGTGGTGAGGAGAATAATGACACCTTGTTGTGTCCAGTTTTTTGTTTTCTTTTTTGAATATTTTAATGATTGGTGACAGCTTAATGGAAGTTACTTACATAATTCACACACAGCATCATGGTTCATATGAAAAAGTAGCAATCTTAAGCAAATTGTGTTGGGACAACATGAAGAATTTGACTGGAACCCAGCATTATTTACAGTGTATATTTTACTGCTTAAATCTAATAGTATTTTATTTTAAGGATTTAGATCAATTCTAAAGAATCTGACAACATATAAAAAACTGACAAATTAAACAAAATCAAAATATTACAAACAGCTATTGATAAACTTCATCATGATTAATTTTTAAAGTGTAATTATGTATGTTTTTTTTTGTTTTTTTTTTTGCAGTAAGTAACTTTCTTTGTGTCTTAATCCTTAGAGGCCCGAGCTATGGGCACCATGATGGTGGCATTTGGATACATCTATCCACTACAAGACCATAAGAGACTTATCCTTAAACCAGACACATCCTTGTATCGCTTTCAGGTAACTTTTACAAACAACCTCAACATATTATACACACACACACATAGCCACTTAGGTATGGACACAAATGCAATACAATTTTTTTGCAATATTGAATAAATTATACCTATGGAGAATGCCCATAAACCACTAAACCAGTGTGTGTGTGTGTGTGTGTGTGTGTGTGTGCGTGTGCGTGTGCGTGTGTGTGTGCATGTGTGGAGTGAAGAATTTCCACAAATTTAGAAATGGCCTTTCCCTTATTACAGTTTACTTTGACACATTACAGTCCATATGCGTTTGTACTAATCATACCATTTCTTCCATACATTTCTTCCTCCAGACACCATATTTTTGGCCTGCACAGCAATGGCCGGTGGAAGATACAGACTATGGTGTGTAATCATGGTTCATTTTTCCATGCGTGCTGATAGGTTGTCATAGCAATATTTCACAGTGAGATTATTCATTATGGTTTCAAACAGCTGTCTGGGCTGAAGAATGTGATAAATTGCTTTCATGTTGAGTCACATTGCATCTTTAAATGGCTTTTACTGGGAGAGTCAGATGTTTACATGTGTATTTTCAGCAATATATTTGGCGAAAAGAAATATACGCAAGAAAGGGATGCTGGAGCTGTATGAACAGGTAACTGGATGTCAGAATGATAAATTATGACAAAATTTCATCACATCATCTGGTTGTTGCAAAATTATATAATGTAGTTTAACACAAGTGAAGATATTTTCAAATTAAATATAAGCAATTTTTGTCCATGTACTGAAGTTATATTCACCTAAAACTTTTTTGTCAAAGTCTTCTAAAGAGAAAATGATAAATATATAAAATTTTTGCTTTCATTAACATGTAAACATTGATCAGTGGACATTATTGACAGTAACCAGATTTGATCAAAGCTCAAGCTTGTTTTGTATGTGCAAGAACAGATTTCAGGTTCATTCTTGCGTGTCACATGTCCTGTGAGGTTTTTTCTTGTGGAAGGAGTACAACTTATGATTATGTTCTCTAATGAATGATTATTTGTGAAGTTAAAATTATCTCTCTCAGAAACATCTAGAACAGAGGTAAATATATTGCAAATATATTGCAACAGCACAAATTATTGAGGTCATCTCCAAGTATTGCACGATAAGTCAATATATTGATTATTATGACATGCCTACCCACGGGCCCTAGTTTGGGCATCTGTGATCTAGAAGCATAAATGTTTTTGGAGAATAGAATTTCAATAAAGAATAGACTTTTCTAGAATCATATAGAAACACAATCTCTTTATTGCATATTTAATTTAAAAAAATCTTCATTTGTGTTCTGAATATGAATGAAAGTTTCATGCGAGTGACTGATGACGGTAACTTATTTTGTTTTATTTTAACTTTTTACCTGTGATAAATTGCATGAAAAATTACTATACTTTGGATTTAATAAGTGTAAAATTTGTTTGATTTTCTTTCCAGGAAGAGTACAACAATCTTTACAAGTGGATGAATCACAAGTGGGATTTTATTGTAATGCAGGCCAAAGAGCAGTACAGGTACAGGCTAAATATTAGAGAATCTTTATGATTAGACATAGGTCTTATTAACTAATTATATTCACTTATTCATAATTACGTATTGCAAACCATTTACATTAGAGTTTCACTCATTCTTATACTCTTTTCAATATTATTGAATTGAGAGTATTGTAAATGAACATGCCTACGTGTCAGTTTCATTTTTTCAGTTTTAATTTGCATAAAACACAGGCAAGACTGCATAGAAATATTTATACCTGCATGAATGTACGCACACCTCTGGCTATGAATCAGTAAATGAGGCTCTGTGTTTTTCTTGATTTATTTTTAAACAATATTTTGTATTTCAGTCTTCAACAAAGCTAATTGCTTGTTTTAGGGCAGGTAAGGAGAGGAAGAAACCAGACCGGGTGGTTTTTGACTGTCAGGAACGGGCCTACTGGGTTGTACATCGGCCACCAGTGAGTTATCTTTGAAACTGAAAACACATGCTGGCCACTTTTTTAGGTACACCTTGGATTCTTTGGCTTTCAGAACCATCTTAACTCTTGGCATAGATTGAGCAGCAAGGTGTTGGGAACTTTGAATTTTGTCAGCATGGCTGACATGATGCAAATCTCCCCTTCCAGCACATGTCAAAGGCACTCAGTTGCTTTCAGATTTGGTTACCATTTGAATTTAGTAACTCATTGACATACTTAGGAAACAGTTTGCGATTTTGTGACAGTGGAAGTTGAAAGCCAAAATATAAATGAGTAATATGAATATATGAATGAATTTAAAATGAGTACTACTTAATACTATGGCCATGAAGTGATGGAAATGGCTGTTTTTATCTGAAAGGATTGTCACCACTGTGCTCTTTGTCTATGTAAGGGAGACTCAGGAGATTTGCAAGCTTCTTTATTTACAATGCAAGTCACAGCAACAATGTAACATGTAGCATTCAAAGAAATGGATAACTGGGCTTTAAAGCTGGTGTAGTCAAACAGAGCAGTGGTCAGGACACACAGAGAGTTATCATAAATGAGACTCTAGGTGAGGGTCAGAGCTGGCAGCATAGAATCGTACATGAATATACAGGTTGGGTTCTATGCAGGCAGAACACAATCACAATCAGGAACACAAACAAAGTCAGCAACCAGGAAAACAGTCCAGCGAAATATGTGAAACATTCAGAAATGTCCACTTACCAAAACAAGACATCGCAAGGAACTGTGGTAGTAGTCGTCATCCTTAGAATTATAAGGTTCTATCTGACATTTTTGTCAAATTGTTCTAGATTTTAAAAAAAATGTTGCACACACTCACTGTTTGCTATGGAATGCAAAAACTTGAAGCTTAATATTGCAAAATCATTCAGAACGAAGATAAAACCTTATAATTCCAAGGTGACGATATGCGAGTGACAAATGTCATAAGGTGCTGGACGTTTTGGAATTCAATAAACTGCTAGTATTCTGGTGATGATGACCTCTACTGGTTTGTAAGGGGAATGGCTGGGAAGGACATGGTGAAAGACTGCTTCTTTAGCTCATCTGCTTCAAGGTTTGATTTGTTCATGCTGACTGTTCAGAGATGCTCTTTTGTAGAGCTCAGTTATAATAAAAATAATTCCTTACATTTGTAAGCGTTTTTTAGACACTCAAAGCACTTTACACATTGGGGGAATTTCCTTATCCACCACCAGTGTGCAGCATCCACCTGGATGACGTGACGCCAGCCATATTGCGCCAGAGTCCATTCCACACACAAGCTGATTGGTGGAGAGGAGACAGAGTGATAAAGCCAATTATGATATGGGGATGGTTAGAAGGCCATGATGGACAGAGGCCAGTGCATTTACTCAGCCGCAGCCACACACCTGATGTTTGTGTGTGTGTGTGTGTGAGTAGGTGAGATGAGGGAAAGCACGCAGTGGACCGAACCACTCTGAGGAAGGGGAGAGGGAACTCAACTGTTTGTAAATGCATTTTAAATGATACTGTCTACTTGTTGTCTACTGTCTACTTAGATAATTACTTTAACTATATATACATATATTTTTCGCAATTGAGAGTTTTTATTTTTAATAATTTATTTTTTTGGGGGGTACAACCCTTGGATGGGAGGGGACATGTCTCCCGCTCCCGGGATTTACATATATATGTGTGTGTGTGTTTGTGTGTGTGTGTGTCACGCAAACCCCGCCCCCAGAACATCCCCCAGAATCAAAACGTCACACAACCCACCCACTTCAGCGGGAACCAGGCAGATAAAGCACACCATCGCATCATAACGACACCATTCAAATAAACAAAAAAATGACACGTTACTGTTTAGCATTACATTATATGTCTACACGCACAGGCCTGTGTGTTCTTATTCATCATATTCATTTACTCACCCACCGACTGTTGGCATCGAAATCGAGTGGTCTTGCCACATACGGAGGGACCCAGCGCAGTGAGCGCACCAATCATAATATAAAACCACAGACATTCTCTGTTAATAAAGACAGAAAAATTAAAAGAAAAAAGAAAATGTATTTTATAATGTCCACGTTTAGATTGATGCCGTCAAACATTCAGCCCAAATATAGCCTATGTTTCGTTGTGCGTTTAGCAGCTATCCACTAATGAAGCTCTTCATGTATTTAAGAAAAAAAGATAGCCATAGCCTACAGAAAAAAAGGTTGCCTAGTTTCTGCTTTCACTCACCCTAAAAATGCTCTGTTTGCATGATTTGATTAATATCATCATATCCAAATAAATAATATTTCAAATCATCTTCGGTGTTTATTGGTTTTAGAAAACATCTAAAAAAATTTTGATTTTTTCTTTTTTTTCAGAGAGGCCTTTGTAAATTGAAAGTTTAATATGGGTTAAAAACGGTTTGATTTATGTATTGTATATTCCTATATTGGTTCAGCTATTGTTAGTTTTATATTGGTTAATTTTTTTTTATGCGATTTTATTATATCCGATATTTGTAATTCTTAAAATTATTTAGCTTAGGCTATTTTATGAAGATATAACACTATTGTTTTAAGCCTACAAAAGTGGACACAAAATTTTACAAGTTTCATGTCTTTCTGTTGTATTCATATTGTGTATATCTCCAAAATAAATAACAGAAAGAAAAAAGCAACCCGCGGCATCAACAGAGCTATGAAGGGAGCGCTCTTTTCCTGCGTCTCACACACACATACAGGCATCTAAACGTGCATAAACACACCTTTTAAACTTGACAAAACTCTTGAAAACCTTTCTGCTGTTCCTTTAATATGGTGTAAAGATTATTATGCGTTACTGATACATCAAGAAGGACGCTGCAAAGAAAAGTTGCTTATAAATTTAAACTTTATTATTTTATGCAACAGCCTTACATTTAAAGGGGAAACATAAGGGCGATCATACGCAAAAGACCCCAGCCTATTAAGCTAGATGTTTTCTTTCCCTTTTTTATATATTTGTTTGGTGCATGTACTCGTGTGCGATCGGAAAACTGTGCTCGTGCTCTGCCTCTCCTTTCACTTCTCCCCGAAGCCCCAGTTGGCCCTTCTTGGCCCAAGGTATTCAGTGGGCCGAAAAAGGCTGGCCGCTGGCCCCAAGAAAGCCCAGATTTGGCCCAATTAGGCCCCAGAAGTGACAGTGGAGACGCGACTGGCCTTGGCTCGCCCTGGCTCACTCGCTTTAGGCGCGATAGTTGAAACGTGGCTATTTACATCTGTAGCTGACGTCAGAACAGCAAAAACCATTGCTTAAAAACACGTCACTTTAGAGCTAGTATTTGAAAGATTCTCTTGAGTAATATCTAATGTCTAAAAAAACTACATGAAATGCCATCAGTCTACAGAGATTTCTTGATATTTGCAATTAGTTGCAATTAGGAGATCACAATAGTTCACCCCAAAAAAGCCAAAGCAAAGCTAACACTAGCAGACTATGTGGTATAAATAAAGTACTACAATATACAAAAGAGAGAGATCAACTTTAAATGTTACTTACCTGTTTTATATTGATTTGATCAGCTGTAGTTTGAAATATGAAAAGAGAATACTAAGTTTTTTACTACCCGTCTTTGCTCTGCTCAGTATGACAGGCTGATCGTTGATGATCTCAGAAACTATATATAAATATTTAATATAGGCAATGCCCTTATAAATAAACAGCATAGTTGCAATCTAAACAACTATATTCTCCCCTAAAAAAGTACATTATGTTGTCCAACAGCTGCAAATATTGTCAAACTGTAGTGAGTCTACTAATCTGCTATTGCTCTCTGTGGGCGGAGTAGATTATATATAAATATATATATAGTAGATTCTATAGTAGATTCTTAAAATTATTTATAATCTCTATAGTAGATTATATATATATAGTATAATAATACATAGAACTATTTTGTTTGGCGTGAAAATCCAAGTTGTTCAGCAGTTTCTGAAATAATCAGACCAGCCTGTCTGGCGCTAAAATTACTTAAATCACTATTCTGATTCTTGGTTTGAACTTCAGCACTACAGCATTGAATACATTGAGTTTCTGCCATGTGACTGGCTGATTAGATAAGAAGCTAAAATCCTGTACCTAATAAAGCGGCCAGTGAGTTTATAAGGTCAATTAATGTGACACCTTTCCTGTAGTTAGATTAAGACTTAATGTTGTAAATAACATTTTAGAACCTTAACAAGACCTCATAGTATGTGCTATTTTTCCACCCAAAAGCCAGGAACAGTTAGTGCCATGGACTATGGACATGAAAGGATGATCGACCCCAATATGGAGGAGGTAAAGGTATGTGAGAGGACTAATGTGTTTCTTAAAATAAAAAGCAATATGATGGCTGCTAGGCTTTGAAACATTTTAGTATTGATTAGGAATCTTGTAATAGGACAACAGGCTTTATAACCACATTAACAGATAATCGCACAGAGATTATAATTGTGATGGGAGGCTTATCAAGGATATGTCTATTTTCAGCTAACATTCGAAGGGATTTAAATGATTATAATCTCACTGCTTGTCACTGCAGCAAACTTGTCTTACACAGTTCTCTCTTTCTTTTTTCTACAGATTTGATTTGACTAAACAAAACAAAGAACAGATGACTGCAAAATGAAAACACACACATTGGATCACATATATTTGTCTGTGTAATATAGAAATATGAGTGCACGCTTTTGAAATAACATTGCAGGTCATCAAAGCATCAATATGATTTTTTTGTGAAATATGATATAACGTGAGTTAATGAAGTGTTATGTGTGGTACATAAGAATCAAATAGGTTTTTGAGGATGTCTGTATATTAAGGATTATATTATTCAGAATGTGAATTAAATTGGGCAAATAAATGTATTGCTAAACTTCTCTATCTCTCTTTCTCTCTCTCTCTTTCTCTCTCTCACTACTATGCCTCATAACTATGCTCACACAGATTTTGCACATGCAGTAATCTGCAGATTTTTGAGCTTATTCAATTTGTCTACTTATGTAGATGTGTGTAAACATATTTATTGAGTGTTTATTTTGGTATTATTGAATACTATACAAATGTTTTTATTTATTTTTACAATTTATGTACAATAGAGTTTGTAAAGTCATATTTTCTGTCTTTTGCTAATTTATTATATGAGACTTACCCTATTTACCAATTAAGTGGTTCTAATTGGATTTGTAGTGTAAACATTCAAATAAAAGTTAAATAGTTAATGTTTGTTTTTTTATGTGTTTAGCTTTAGTTAGCACTCTCTCAAAACCATTCGTCATGAATTCACAGATTTTTTACACAATTCTGTGAAAAAAAAAAAAAAAACGTCTGCAGATTCTGTCTGGCTTTTCTCATAAGGCCTACATGCTCAAATGTTAACAATTTTTTTTCACGAGTTTCTTTCTCTTCCTTTAAAACTTCTTCCAAATTGTTTTGCAGAAAAAAACATCTGACTACTACAGAAGAATTGTGAGTAAGAATTGGCTCAATTAAGTTCATTGTAAAAAGCCACAAAATCAATTAGAATCAATGAATCAATGTGTTTGCTTGCAGATCATGTTCACTCAGCAGTGCATCATGAGACCAAGGGTAAAGTCATCTGTGTCAATTGGAGCGTAAGTTACTGTTAAACTATAACTGCATTCATAAATTATTATAAAGCTACAATTCTTTAAAATATTTTTAAAATTCATGAAATTATTGTAAATTATGTTGTATTTTGACTTTATTTTGATATTTTGCAGAATTGTTAAGTACTCAACAACATACAAAGAGCACGACCCCTTTCTCCACCCGTGTCTTCCGAGTAGCCCCTGGTTAACTGATGATATTACATATTGGACTCTTAACATGCCAAAGTGAGCTGCAGTGTTTTAAAGCATTTCATTAGATTCCATGACTTTTTTGTTTTGTTATATGAGATTATGTTAAGTGGGAATGTAAAAAAGGGTTACAATATGTTTAAAGGAACACTCCACTTAAAAAATATAATAAAATAAAAACAATTTTCATGGTGCTGTATGTTTTTAACTCTTCTAAAGCATAAAAATACCCTAATATGTTTGCAGATATTTAAGAAATGTGCTAAGTGAACATTCTTGTTTATCTGTAAAACAATGCCAAAGTCAGATATTGTGCTTTTGAAAATTAAATGCTGTCTTTTTATTAGTTTTTTTAACCCGCCCGATGCCAGTTTAGCCATTTATATTTCAGTATAGTTCCTTGGGTTGCCTTGTATGAAACCACATATTTCATTCATTCATTCAGAAAAGCTCTCAAATCATGTGCCCGTAACCAAAATGTTACCTCTGGGGGACAGTAGCAGACGCTAAATTAAGACGCAGGTTCAGTTTCACATTAGGTTATTAATTAGCAACAAATGTCACGGGAAATGGTATTCAAACTCACATAATTTTTTTTTTGTTGTAAGAATAAAAACTCCTTTTAATATAAAAAAACTATCCCTTCTATTGCGTGCCAATGCTTTTTTGATACATGATTTAAATCAGCATTTTGGATCAATCGTCAGACTCGCTCCAGTTGGTTTTCAGTCTGGCAACCCGGGCTTTCGTTTGTTTGATCCAGGAATGTAATACCTAATTTAACCACTGGGTGTCAAACATACATACTGCTTAAAACTTTCCTAGAGTTAAACAGTTTTACCTTTTAGAACAAATTCAACTGATCTCTCAGGGTATGGTGGGATCATTGAATTGGATTAGACCATTATCATTTAAGTGTTTAAATTATTTACCTATTTAAAATTATTTTCCTATATTGATTTGACTCTAGTTACATCATGTACCAAGACTGACAGACAATGAAAAGTTGCTATTTTCTAGGTTGATATGGCTAGCAACTATAATCTCTGGACTAATAATTAAGGAACTTAATAGCTGCCATGCTATTGGCTGCAGCATGCACAATGATATTATACATTGCCTGAAAATTTTCCCTAGCACCAAGCTATTACAAATTATAATCAAAGCCACAAAAACAGAATGAGATTATGGTTCCTAACCATATCGACCTAGAGATTAGCAATTTTCTCAGTCAGTCGTAATGCTCAATTTATCTCTATTTGGAGAAAAAGGAATTATATATATTATATCATAAATATTATATATTATAATTATATGTGTATTGTTTATTTGATGCCATGAAACAGGTTTCTGATGTCTTGTGTTTGGATCTAACAGTGTTGAGACCCCTACTAAAATGAGGGTGGAGCGCTGGACTTTCAGCTTTGGAGAACTGCTGACTGACCAACGAGGAAGGGCTGATTTCCGACTCTTCCTTAAAAAGGAGTTCAGTGGTATGTGATATTAAACATTCGCACTAGAAATTTTAACAATATTAAGATTAGAACTCATCTACCACTTTTCTGTTATCTGTTGAACAAAAAAGATGATTTTTGGCTTTTAGCCATTGACTTTGATAGTATTTTTCTTTCATACTATGGATGTCAATGTCTGCCAGTTTTTAACAATTGCAAAAAAAATAAAATAAAAAATAAACTAATTCAAGTTTAAAACCGCTTAATTGGTTGTGTTTAAATGATAAGATCATTTTAATTCTTTGCTAAACTTCTCTTTAATTAGTGAATTGGTTCAGTTTTGAAATTTTTACTAGTAATGGAATTAAATGGTTAAAACTATTTTTGACTTTAAACTGATTTGTGAACAGGTGAGAATCTTGCCTTCTGGGAGGCTTGTGAAGATCTGAAATGGGGTGCAGCAGAGACAATGAAAGAAAAGGCTCAGCAAATATACAAGTAAGCATCAATTTTTCATTCTCTTGGCTCAATAAATAGTTAATTTAGATATTATATATATTGCATGTACAGTATACACTTCTGTTCAAATGTTTGGGGTCGGTACATTTTTTTAATTGTTTTCTAAAATGTTATTAACTTGCTTCATCAAACTGATCAAACATACAGAACAAAAAACTACAATGAATACGATTTTAAACAGAGAACGTGTTAAGATCTGAAAACATGGTAAAAATCTGGCAAGGGCTTTTTCTTTTTCTTGATTATTTGTTAAAACTGTCAGTTGGGTTAAGGGCTAGAGGAGGGTGGGTCAGTCGATTGGTCAGTCAGTCAGTAAGTCAGTCGACAGCGGCCTCTGGTGGTTTTACGCGAGAACTGCAGGCTCGGATGGCACTTCAATGGCAAATTTGAGATCTCAAAAAGCAAAAACAGCAGCCTCTGGTGGATTCATGAAAACAAAAACTGCAAAAAAAATGTAGCTCCTGGGACATACTTGGTGACCAAATGTATATAACAGTACAATTTCTTAATTGGTCGGTTGGTTGGTTGGTTGATTTAAATGTTTACTTAAATTACATCAGCACTGACATTTTAACTTTTGTTTAATTAGGACCTTTTTGGCTCGTGGAGCTCCTCGTTGGATTAACATTGATGGGAAAACAATGGAAATAACAGTGAAGGGTTTGGGACACCCTCATCGTTATGTACTGGATGCTGCCCAGACTCACATTTACATGCTCATGAAAAAGGTATCTAATCTCAAGTCAAATATTGCAACTCAATTGTCTGCAAACATGGAATTAATGCAAGTATGATCTTTCATCAAGGACTCATACGGGCGATATCTCAAGTCCCCGGTGTTTAAGGAAACTCAGAAGAAAGCCATTGCTCCTGAAGCACACAGATTCAGGTTAGATACGCCTTTATAAAATATATTAGACTGTGTTATTGTTCATAAGTGAGTATAAGATTTTCCTATTCTCCTACTTTAAAGGTTACTGTGTTGTTTTGGAAGTCTGCTTTAATAAGATTTACATCCATCATTTTTAAGTTTACATCTAAAAACAATTGAGGTTTCATATGATAAACAGTTGATTTTTACTGTCTAAAATTACAGATTTTGTCAAAATCATGTTAAACAGGAGTAGGCAAGCATACACAAATAATCCAAAGGGTGAATAATAAAAGAGGCGAATGGGCCAAGGCAGGCGGAAAACATTCTTTCAATTATTTTCATTCAGCACAGCGGAATGAACCGCCAACTTATACAGCACATGCTTTACACAGGTGCATCCCAGTACTGGAAAACACCCATACACTCTCTCATGCACTGTTACAACACTCTGGCTCAAGAAAGTAGCAACAAAACCAAATAAAGATCCAAACCAGAAAATCAAATCAACTTAAATATATTTATAAAAAAAAAAGTGTAATGATACATAAATATAAAGAAAAGAAAACAAGAAAAACTCCAAAACTGAAGAGGGATGGATGAAAACCGCAATCCTGTTCTCTTGGTCTTTATCCAAACGCACATCACAGGTAACACTCCGCACCTGGTCCAAACGTAATCACGGCAAAACACCGCACCTGTTCAACACTCCGAGAGAATACCAAATCATGGAACACCTCCATCTAGCGGACACTGGTTAAACAACACTTCAACCGTCACAGCACACATACACTATGACCAATATAGTTTATTCAATTCACCTATAGCACATATCTTTGGACTGTGGGGGAAACCGGAGAACCTGATGGAAACTTATGCCAACAAGAGACGAACATGCAAACTCCACACAGAAATGCCAACTGACCCAGCCGGGACTTGAACCAGCAACCTTCTTGCTGTAGGGTGATAGTGCTACCCACTGAGCCACAGTGTCACCCCAGGCAGCAAACATTAAAACAAAAACATTAAACAAACAAAGCGTCAAAAACACACCAAGGCAAGAGAAGGAAACCGCTTTGTAAATTCACTTGTTATGATGTCAAAAGTAGAATTCTATTCTAGCAGAAACCACACTTTTACATCTGACCTTCTGTTGGTGTTTGAGGAGTCACAGTTATCCACAGCAACTTTTCCTTCATCTTAAATTGATTTTTGGCCTTTATTTATTCATGATAGCGCTGTTCAGCAGAGCACTTATGGAGACAAGGCAGAGTGATCCAAAAGAACCAATGGAGGTTGAGAAACATTCCGAGAACGAGGCCATCAACTGCACTGAGAAAGACAAAATGTGCAGAAATAAAACTGCACTTTCTGGTGAAAGTCAAACCTCTGCTGACTCCTGTCAAACTTTTTGTCCTGAAGCCCAATGACGCAGACCTACTTGAGCTTCCAGGCCTCTCTGTAGACTTTGCTCTTCCAGCCACTCATGTCAGCTCACTGCCAAAGTCCCCAAAATCATGGCCTGTTCCTCCACGTCCTGTTCCTGCAGCAGATGGGCTGTTCTCCCACCCTGCTCCTCAATTTGTCCTTCTACCAGATGAGTTGCTTCTCCTACTGACATCCTGCTCCTTAACATTGAGGTTGAGGAGAAAGAGTTTGAGGAGATCCAAGCCTGCAAATCCCCTGAAAGTCCCAAATCGTTGGGACGAATGATTGCTTGGGAGGTAAAGGAGGAAGATAAAGAGGTGCAATCCTGGATAGAGCTCCATCAAAGCGAGGAGGACCTCAGTGAAGCAGGAGACTTTTCCATGGTGTCTCCTGATGGTCCAGTTATTCGTACTTCTACAAGACGAGCTGCTCTTCTGAGTGTGTTTTCTGACAATCATGATGCTGCCGCTCTGTCTGGAGTGTGTCCTTCATCATATGAGGATTTCTTCCGACATTACTCTCCAGTTTGTCCTCCTACAAGACAAGGAGCTCTTCTGAGTTTGTTTCTTGACTCTCATGATGTTGGTGCTCTGCCCAGAGTATGTCCTTCATCTTATGAGGATTTCTCCTGCTGCTCTCAAGTTCATCATCCTATCAGACAGATGGTTGCTTTGGAGGAGGAGGAAAAAGAGGAGGAATATTTGTCGAGTGAAGTGATGAAGCTCCAGTTATGCGAGGAGGACCTTGATGAAGCTGGAGACTCTGTTCCTGACAGTGCTGTTATTCAGCACAAGAAGCTCAGAAAGTTCAGAAAAGAAGTACTGCTTCTGTCCATGTGGGCTGAGGAGAAGGCGAAGAGAAAGACGGAGAGGAAACTCCCAAAGGAGAAGGAGAAAAGAGAGCTGCTGTTTCATTACTACAGAAATTATCTGAAACTAAATCACCTGTGGGTCAACAAACACAAGAATCTGCAGATAATCCTAAACTTTCTCCCTTCCCTAAATCTCCAATGCCCCCTGAACCCACTGCACGCTCCTCTTGTAAAAAAAGCTGTGCGAATGCTGAATGATCTCTGAGTGTTCTTTACTATTAACACATAGTTCATGTTATGCACAAAAAGGACTGCACAATATATTGTTTAAAAAAATTGGATTTTAAATTTGATTATTTGATTGGGGTATCTAAATATTGCTAGACTCCCAAAATCATATATGTATTTTTTTATGTACAGTGCATCTGGAAAGTATTCAGCGCTTTACTTTTTCCACATTTTTTTATGTTACAGCCTTAATCTAAAATTGATTCAATTCATTTATTTACTCAAAATATCAAAACTCAAAAAAAAAAAAAATTTAATTGTTGCAAATTTATTAAATAAAAAACCTGAAAAATCACATTTACATGAAGCTCTAAATTGAGCTCAGGTACATTTTGTTTCCACTGAGCATTCTTGAAATGTTTCAGCAGCTTAATTGGGGTTCACCTGTGGTAAATTCAATTGATTGGACATGATTTGAAAAGGCATACACCTGTTTATATATGGTCCCAGGGTTGACAGTGCATGTCAAAGCCCAAACCAAACATGAAGACAAAGGAATTGTCTGTAGACCTCAGAGACAGGATTGTCTTGAGGCAAAAGGTTGGAAAAGGTTACAGAAAACATTCTGCTGCTCTGAAAGTTTCAATGAGCACAGTGGCCTCCGTCATCCATAAGTAGAAGATGTTTGAAATCACCACGACTCTTCCTAGAGCTGACCGGCCATCTAAGCTGAGTAATCTGGGAGAAGGGCCTTGTTCAGGAGGAGATCAATAACCCGATGATCACTCAGTCAGTCAGACTACGACAAGTGACAGACCGGAAGTCATTTCCAATGAAGAGTAGCCTGGGAGTTGCGTGAAGTTCCGATCATCTCTGACCGGATGTCATGGAATCCAGTGTTGTACAAGCAGGTCCATGTGCGCGAGATGAGAAATATGAGTTTATTTGATTATTTTTTTTAATTATAAAAAGTCTATATTGAAAAAAAAATACATTTCATAAATGTAAGTAAGAAATTAAAAAATATCTATATTTTTTATGTCTCCACATACCCTCCAATATTTTAGCGGTCTATGAGTTTCTAGTATTCATTCATTCATTAAACCATGTAAACGCACAGAGAATAAAGGCTCTTGCTTTTGCACTCCTTTATTTTGGACACTGAGAATCAGCTTCCCTCCCATGGTGCACGACAACACTGAAAATACTGTGCGACTGACACAAGGGGGCGTATTCTGACAGTCGTGTCCAAATGTCGTGTGCAGTGGAAAGGCGGCTTTACAGAAGGACAACCATCTGTGCAGCAATCTACCAATCAGGCCTGTATGGTAGAGTGGCCAGACAGAAGCCACTCCCCGCCTGGAATTTGCATCTGAAGGACTCTCAGACCATAAGAAACAAAATTCTCTCGTCTGATGAGACTAAAATTGAACTTTTTGGAGTGCATGCCAATTGTTATGTTTGGAGAAAACCAGGCACTGCTCATCACCAGGCTAATACCATCCCTACAATGAAGCATGGTGGTGGCAGCATCATGCTGTGGAAATGTTTTTTCAGTAGCAGGAACTGGAAGACTAGGATAGAGGGAAAGATGAATACAGCAATGTGCAGAGACATCCTGAATGAAAACCTACTTCAGAGTGTTTTTGACCTCAGACTAGGTTGACGGTTCATCTTCCAGCCCAAAGCACACTGCTAATGTAATGGCTTCACAACAACTTGATGAATGTCCTTGAGTGGCCCAGCCAGAGCCCAGACCTAAATCCTGTTGAATATCTCTGGAGAGATCTGAAAATGACCGTACACAGTTGCTTCCCGTCCTGATAGAACTTGAGAGGTACTGCACAGAGGAATGGGCAAAAAATTCCCAAAGACAAGTGTGCCAAGCTTGTGGGATCATATTCAAAAAGACTTGAGGCTGTAATTGCTGCCAAAAGTGCATCAACAAAGAATTGAGCAGAATTGAGGCTGTGAATACTTATGTACATGTGATTTTTCATGTTTTATATTTTAACAAATTTGAAACAATTAAAAAAAAATCTTTTTTCACATTGTCATTATGGGGTATAGATTGTAGAATTTTGAGTAAATAAATGAATTTAATAAATTTTAGAATAAGGCTGTAACGTGGAAATGTGAAGAAAAAATGTGGAAAAAGTGAAGCGCTGAATACTTTCCGCATGCACTGTATTTGCTTTACTGTATTTATGATGCGATTAGTTTAATATATTTTGTGCAAATGCACACTCTTAGAAAAGCATCCCAATGTATTTAAATTATTAATTATTTTTAAAAAAAGAGACACTCATTTAATCTGGCACTAACAGTTTTTCTAATCTTTCAGAAAGCAGCAACAGGAAAGATTGATTGATTGTGGAACTTTTTAAATTTACATTGGTGATGTAGAAATAAAAACCTGAATTGTTTTGTTGGTGGGTAATAACGAAACATTTTAAAAGCAAAACCAATTAAAATGAATGACAAAATTGCTAAACTAATCCAAACATTGATGTAGCTGATTAAGAATATTATTGAAACTGTAATAATTTTCATTAATAATTAAATATATACGTGTGTAACTTGCAGGAAAAAAAAACTATAGACAATAAACCAGCTGCTAGTTTTTTTTTTTTTTTGGTGTTTTTTTTTTGCAGGTTTTTATCTCAGACTTTGAAAGAGAGTTTTGTGTATGGATGGGTCAAATCTGCCAAACTAAGTGATACAAAAAGAACACTGCTGGATAATATCCACTTAGTCACACTATTAAAAATTATTTTGTGGAATTTTGTGCATAGGATCCAAAATTGCTGGCTGCGCCCATGGCTATGTGTAATCAGAAGCTAAACTGAAACTGGTGTATGACTGCAGGACATGATGGGATATGTAGTTCTCCAGCAATCCCCAATGGCAACACCACTGAAATATAGTGTCATTGCTTTAAAACGTTCTGATACACGTTTTCACAACACAAACGTTTTGATACATATGATGTTTAACATTTTGAAATGTTACTTTTTAGAAAATATTACCAAATAGTCCTGGATTTTTAGGATTTCGAGTCAAGTAATTCAATGTCTTATTGGGTAATTAATTTCCTTTTTGGATAAAGTAATTAGCAAAGTAATTTAAATACAAATTTATTGATATAATTACTTTTTTAAAGTAGCTCACCCAACATGGCGCACTGGCCTGTTACAAACCTAGATTTGTGAATGAAGTAAAACTGGACTTACACTTGTTTCAGGTAGTTTAGAGTTGGTTCTTTCATTTGGGTTCACTTTGATCTTTGAAACTTTGCAGATCTTTTACTTTTACATTCTAAGTTATGCATTGCTTGACAGGTAATATCTTTAAAAGCATTGTAGGTGCCTTTTAAACATGTTTTCACTCTCTAATGTGTCCTAGTGAGGCGCAGTTGGAGCAGAACGCTAAAAGAAGGCGACCCAGTCTGAGTCCCATCATCCTTAGGCAGCAGGAGGAAGAACAGAAGGCCAAACTTGCAGCAAGTGGCCCAGTGGACATCACACAGGTCATGAGCAAACTGGAAAAGAAAAAGAAAACCTGAAAGCTAGCACACAAAGGCTAGATACTGATAGAAATAGAAAACTAAAGCAATTTTGCAAGCCAGTATATTTTTATAGGGAAAAATAGAGATTTTATTTATTTTTTGCTATGTGCAGTATTACTTAAACATTGTTAGCCTTTGAAAGCTTGCTTAATTTATTTTTCTTATGTCATTAATTCATTCATTGAACATCACTGCTATCAGTCCATGCATTGAACTTCCTTGTTATAAGGCCACTGTGAGTAAAGGTTTTTGCACACTGAAGTCTGACGTTTACTGTACGTATGCTTTTTTTGTATTCGTATCCTGAAACTTGTTCATGCACAAAGTAACTTACATAACTTTCACTTTGTTTGTTAGACTGTAAAATGCTGCGATTGACAGCATCCTGGACTTTCGTTTGTTTGGTGAAAATCAAATCCGATAAAGAAAAAAATTATTGGTGGATGAAAGTTTCGGAGGCGGTGTGTAAATGGGATTGACACATCATGATGTTGTATTTATTTTTTAATGTGCTAAAATTTTGGACGAAATTTTCAGACTCAGTGTGAAATTAACTTTACTGTTTTCCAGATTTGTTGACTCTTAGGGTACATTTACATGACAGCGACATCCTAAAATTGCAAAAGTTTGTTCTTTTAATATTTTTAAACTTAAAGATCTATGAAAGCGACTGAAAATATGTGTTATGCATACCAGGCCAGTAGACTGACCCATTTGATCAACTGTTAAAAGGATAGTTCATTCAAAACTAATGACTCACCCTTTACTTAATTTTTTCATCCTTTACTTAATTTAAAGCCTTTTAAAGTTTATTTTGTTAAAGTCAAACGAAAATATTTTTAAAGAAAACTGGAAATCAATTGCCATTGAGTTCCATTAAATTATCTTTTTTCCTATTATGCATGTCAATGGTTACCAAATTTTCATCTTTTTTGAAATATCTTCTTTTGTGTTCAAGAGAATAGACGTTTGGTACAACTTGAGGGTGAGAAAACAGTAAGTAAATTTACATTTCGTTTCATTTTGGGGTGAAATGCACCTTTAAGAAACAAGTACAGTCCAGTTGTCAAGTACTCCCACGTACCTATTGACTAAATATATAATGTGAGATGTGTACATTTTCACAAATTGTGTTTTTGTTTACATGGATATAATCATGGTAAATTTTAAAGCTACTCACTTTGAAGTATGCTATCAAATTAAAATTTTTCTGGCCCCTAGAATTACACAACTTGTAAACGTACCCTTATTCACTCTCATTTTGAACCTAATGTCATATTTGTGTTTTATCACATTTGATGTATGTTCATGTTCATTTTGTTAACTCAAACATTATGAGATGTTGTCTTCATTACTACAGTTTGTTTAATTTCTGTGTGTTCCATGTTTGTAGCTGTTTCATTGTAAATCATGAATTTAGTGAAATACACAGTAAAATATTTGTCATCCGTGGTCATATCATGTGTCTTTGTCGTCTGTGATTGTTTTATGAGTGTAATGCACTATTGATGTACAGTGCATGCGGAAAGTATTCGTAGCGCTTCACTTTTTCCACATTTTTTTTATTTACAGCCTTATTCCAGGATAAATTAAATTCATTTATTTCCCCAAAATTCTACACACAATACCCCATAATGACCATAATGTGAAAACAATTAGCAAATTTATTAAAAATAAAAAACCTTAAAAATCACATGTACATAAGTATTCACAGCCTTTGTTCAATACTTTGTTGATGCACCTTTGGCAGCAATTACAGTGACGGTGTACACCCATTTTCAGATCTCTGTTTAATAAGTTTTAGGTCTGGGCTTTGGGTGGGCCACTCAAGGACATTTACAGAGTTGTTGTGAAGCCCTCCATTGATATCTTGGTGGTGTGCTTTGCGCTGGAAGATGAACTGTAGGCTCAGTGTGAGGTCAGAACATTCTGAAGTAGGTTTTCATTCAGGATATCTCTGTACATTGCTGTATTCATATTTCCCTCTATCCTGGCTAGTCTTCCAGTTCCTGCTACTGAAAAAGATTTCCACAGCATGATGCTGCCACCACAATGCTTACTGTAGGGATGGTATTAACCTGGTGATGAGCGGTGCCTGGTTGTCTCCAAATGTAACGCCTGGCATTCACTCCAAAGAGTTAAATTTTAGTCTCATCAGACCAGAGAATTTTGTTTCTTATGGTCTGAGAGTCCTTTAGATGCAAATTCCAGGCAGGGAGTGGCTCAGTTTAGAATACTTATGTAAATGTGATTTTTCAGGATTTTTATTTGTAATAAATTTGCAACGATTTAAAAAAAAAAGGTTAGATTGTCATTATGGGGTATTGTGTGTAGAATTTTGAGTAAATAAATGAATTTAATCTATTTTGGAATAAGGCTGTTCATTCATTCATTCATTCATTTTCTTGTCGGCTTAGTCCCTTTATTAATCCGGGGTTGCCACAGCAGAATGAACCACCAACTTATCCAGCAAGTTTTTACGCAGCGAATGCCCTTCCAGCCGCAACCCATCTCTGGGAAGGAATTAGGCTGTAACATAAAAAATTTGGAAAGAGTGAAGCGTTGAATACTTTTCAGATGCACTGTATGGCATCATGTTACCACTTGTCTAAAATAAATTTGACCTCATGCCATACAGTGAGAGGAAATGAGTGTGTGTGAGTTGTGAAAAATAATTTCATAATTGATTTATTTTAATACATTTCAAAACCTGCATGATTTTTCAAACCTTTTGAGCCCAAAAGAAAATAAATATAACAGGACGTTCTGAAAGAGAACTTGACTGCCAAAAAAGAAATTTACAGCAACAGTATCTGTGCAGCACAAGTCTAATTTTATGCTTTTATGAAACACTAGTAAAATAGTTTTGGTTTGCAGTAAAGTCATAACAATAATTTTGTAGTCTGCTTAAATAATTTAATCAATAAGAGTCAGAAATATATTTCAATAAATATGTCATTTAGGGCTGCTCGGTGGCGCAGTGGGTAGCACGTTTGCCTCACAGCAAGAAGGTCGCTGGTTTGATTCAGTTGGGGTTTCTGTGTGAAGTTTGCATGTTCTTCCTGTTTGCGTGGGTTTCCACCAGGTGCTCCAGTTTCCCCCGTGGTCCATAGACATGCAGTAGAGGTGAATTGGGTTGGCTAAATTGTCCATAGTGTGTGTGTGTGTGTGTGTGTGTGTGTGTGTGTGTGTGTGTGTGTGTGTGTGTGTGTGTGTGTGTGTGTGTGTGTGTGTGTGTGTGTGTGTGTGTGTGTGTGTAAATTAATGCATGTGTATGGGTGTTTCCCATGGATGGGTTGCAGTTGAAAGGGCATCCGCTGCGTTAAACATATGCTGGATAAGTTGGTGGTTCCTTCTGCTGTGGCGACCCCTGATTAATAAAGGGAATGAGCCGTAAAGAAAATTAATGAATAAATAATTAAATATGTAATTTAACTTAATTGTTTTATTAAGATGAATAACATGATTTGCAAAGCACAGATATTATCGCTTAATTCAAATAGGTATACGTTCCAAAATGGCAAGACCCTGCAAATCTCACTCCATTGAGTTCATTGTGTGTATTGCATCGCTGAGTGATAAAGGCTGCATCCAGATACTATTGAAAACAGTAGTGTCTTGATAATAAACAGTAGTAGTAGTAAAATAGAGTTAAGACACATTTTAGTAAACCGAATGCTTCAAATGCAACGTTGACGTTGGTTACAAGTTTCTGTTAAAGCCTACATTATTTTACGATTAGGTATAATCATTCATTCATGATCTTATTTAAAAATGCTTTGTACTGGGTCGTATAACTCATTATGTCATGTGATTACGTAAATAGATTTAAAAATGTACTGTTGTAATTCAGCAATGTTTTAAACCTTTTTTATTGAATACTTAATTACAGATCCCACAATGTTGTAAACTATTTACAGTTTATTGGTTCTCGAACGTTTCTTTCTATTTCTATTTTTTTTTTTTTTTTTTGCTCTTTTAAATTTTCATTCCTAATAATCTACTGTGTGTCAGATACCTAAATGTAGGCTAAATTAATTAACAGTTTATGCTTCCAAAAGTAACTTGAGTTATACATGGGACATTCTACCAGAAACGTACATTGTCTGTCCCTGAAATAAAAAACATAAATACAGTGAATAGAAAGTATTTCATTCAAAACATTTCTAAAATGGAATGATGGGTGATATCTGTGAGTTGTTCTGTAAAGTAATATTTCATTCGTTATTAGATATTTGTTCTTTAGGTCAGGCCCTGTCACATTTTTACAAATGAAAATGTACGTTTCTTGTAGAATGTTCCACATATGAGACAAAAAACTAAATATATATATATACACAATTTAGATAGAAACCCACATTATGTATATTTTAATGTATTTTATGATGTTTTTGAAAACCAAATCAACCAAATCATGTTATAAACATGCTAGTTCAGAGGTAATCTATATGTAATACAAAAGTAATCTACATACATTACAGTAATCTAATAGATTATGTAACTACAATTTCATAATTTATGTAATTTGTATTCAGGTACAGGCTACAATTTGTAAACAATCTATTTATCTATCTATCTGTCTGTCTGCCTGCCTGCCTGTCCGTCCGTTTGTCCGTCCTTTCGCCCATATATTGCAGCTGATGATTACAGATTGCGTTGCACTAAGAGCATTTCATTCTAATTTAGACTTTGCATGAACTGTGCCCCACAGCTCTGCCGGTTCACAGCACCTGTGCCTCATCTGGCCGTATATACAGGCTTTTGTGAAGCACAGTCCACTACCTCCCCAGGCCTCATGACGCTGCCCAACAGTGCTGCCTGTCCTTCGCCCATCAGTGTGGCCATCGACAGCACTCCAGCCTCAGAGCGGAGGTTTGACGGTAACGGAGGGCCTTCGTCCTCACATTTCCCTTCCATTGCAGAGGCACCTGTGTCTGAAGAAGAGAACCAGCCGCCTGCACCCAAGTCTCGCATGGCTCTGTCTCTGAGCAGACTCCTCCGCAGAGGATGCAATGCTCCGTCTGTCTTTGCCAGTCTGTCCCCGAAATGTGGTGTAGCTTCAGGGGGAGGCAAAGTACAGCCCCTCGGAGTGGAGCCACTTACACAACCACAGCCCAGGAGAATTGCAAAGTTAGTATGCTTTTTTCAATTTAAGATTTAAGATATTTTTCATAAAATGCAAACATTCAAGAGCCACTAATTAGCATGACACTTAACAGATGAATTACAGGTTAAGTACAGTATCGCATTTTGACCCCAGCTTGTCTTCACTCTGCTTTTGACCCTGGCTAAATCAACATTTCACATGCACTTGTAAATGGGAAGCAGTGTTTTTTTCACTCGGGATTAAGAGACTTAATCTTTTGTGGTGTTTTTTGCAGTGCTAAATGGAGACAATCTCATGTTAAAAAATTATTTTTTCACTTTAAATTTAATGGTTAAACCTGGTCCTTTCTAAACCTTGCCCAAATGTAGTCATGGGTTGTTTTGATTTATGTTTCACATTGCTCACACTTTACCCAAGGTAAGCAGTTAATCCTTGGTATTCATGTAGTGGCATTTCACGCTGTCCATTTCTAAACCATGGGTAAATGTTCTTATTTGCATGCTTGAAATGTTAGTTCTAAGCTCCGTTTACACTGCCAGTTACATAATCGCATTCATTTTCAGAGGGGAGCGTGTGATTTTTGGCTAAAATTGGGCTGTCAGTGAAAATTTAACAGGATTTTCTTACAATTGTCCAAAAACAGACCTGTCATCAGACAGATTATAGATTTTTCATGGTTAGTCAGTCATTCATTCATTTATTCCTTCATATGTAGCCTACTAATGCACAAAAATGTACATTACAAATAATGATTGTCTTTGATTGCTCAAACTGGATAGGTTAAAAGCAGACCCCACACTTGGCCATGTCATGATTTCCTTCCTTCACAAACTCATTTTTTACTACAAGTTTTAACAACTAAACTACAAGTATACTCAGAAGTTTACTTGCACACTATTAGAATTTGCTGCAGTTTTACAGTTACTCACCACAAAAACACCCACATACATTCTGTATAGTTTCTGCTGTATTCTGCACTGCATTATGGGCATTGCACCTCTTTTACAGTAGCTTACAGCTTCAAACTTAAAAACATAAACGTGGACTACTTTTGCACCTAAAAGTTAATGTTACACTTACAGTTTACAGTACAATTAAAAGTATACATTTATGTACTAAAAAGTTGACCAATTTAGTCCCGAGCTTTTTTAATTAGTACAATTGCAATTACATGTACTATTACATACAGTAGACATTAGTATACTTATCTGTGAAGTTCATTCATTCATTCATTCATTTTCTAGTCGGCTTAGTCCCTTTATTTATCCGGGGTCGCCACAGAGAAATGAACCGCCAATTATCCAGCAAGTTTTTACGCAGAGGATGCCTTTCCAGCCGCAACCCATCGCTGGGAAACATCCACACACACATTCACACACACACACTCATACACTACAGATAATTTAGCCTACCCAATTCACCTGTACCGCATGTCTTTGGACTGTGGGGAAAACCGGAGCACCCGGAGGAAACCCACGCGAAGACAGGGAGAACATGCAAACTCCACACAGAAACGCCAACCGAGCCAAGGTTCGAACCAGTGACCAAGCAACCTTCTTGCTGTTAGGCGACAGCACTACCTACTGCGCCACTGCCTCGCCCTATCTGTGAAGTACTCAAATTTATACTTTTTTTTCCTGAGGAAGTAGTACATTAAAATTCACAGTATTTGAAAACAGGAGATGAGAAATACCCAGATGTCCTACTACCTCTGAGAAATGCACATTTAGTGAAAACTTTAAAATCCCATGAGATCATAGGAAGTATTTATAAATTAAAGTGAAGAAATGTGACTGACACTGTTAGCTCTTTGGACAATGACATACCTATATGGGTCATAAAAAATGTCATTTATTACATCCATATTCACACTATATAGGTATAGATCAGACTCATACTCTCATACAAGTGAGTTCAAGTTCAAATGCAGTACCTATAGTGAGACAATATGCTATTGTGGGAACACTGAGGGTTTAATATTGTATAGTGTAAAAGTTTAGATTAATAATACTCTTTTTTTCAAATTGAAGGGATTGTTTACCCAAAAATTACAAATTACTTACAATTTATTCAAAATCAAGTGGTTCTAATCTTTTATAAATTTCTTTTTTTAAACATAATGTTTCACATTGCTCACACTTTACCCAAGGTAAGCAGTTAATCCTTGGTATTCATGTAGTGGCATTTCACGCTGTCCATTTCTAAACCATGGGTAAATGTTCTTATTTGCATGCTTGAAATGTTAGTTCTAAGCTCCGTTTACACTGCCAGTTACATAATCGCATTCATTTTCAGAGGGGAGCGTGTGATTTTTGGCTAAAATTGGGCTGTCAGTGAAAATTTAACAGGATTTTCTTACAATTGTCCAAAAACAGACCTGTCATCAGACAGATTATAGATTTTTCATGGTTAGTCAGTCAATTGTAAGAAAATTTTCTTACAATTGTCAATATATACAATATATTCTAAGAAACAAGTGGTTTTCTAAGGATATTCTAAGGGACATGTTTTGGAACAAGTGGAGTATGAGTAAATGATGACCGTTTGAGTTTTCTTCTTCTGTTAAACATAAAATATGATATTTGGAAGAATGTTTGAAATCTGTTACCATTGTCTTTCAAATTGTTTGTTTTCCTACCATGAAAGTCAATGGTTACTGGTTTCCGATATTTTCAAAATATCTTTCTTTGTGTGTGTTCAGAAGAAATAACTCATGAAGGTTTCAGCAATTTTGAATGAACTATGCTTTTAAATGATGAACAGATACTTTTATTAGTGTTTGTACTTCACAATTTGACAGTACTTGAAAAATAACCTAACTTCTTTCACAGCTTTTTTCAAATCAAAGTTGACATCCCACCTGAATGCCGCATCTACCCCATCGATTCCGAAGACGAGGAGGACGACAGTCCCAATACAGCAAGAGGAGGTGTGAAAGAAATCATTTGCCCATGGGAAACTGTCACGAAACAAGATGGAACAGGATAACGAAACCAAATGGAAGTAGAAGGAAATACACTGAACCAACACTTGTTTCATAAATATTGTGTCTTGCAATCCCGAGAAGGCTGTGGTTAGTAATGTATAAAGTAACCTGGTCTCTAAATTGACATGTTTGTTATTTTTGATAGATTTTAGGTAGTGCCTAACGTTATTGTAGCCACTGAGATGATTTTGTTATAAAGTAAAAAGAAAAATGTAAATATATATACGTATTCTGATGTCACCATTCTTTTATGACTGAAGGGGCCTTATTTTAAGAGAATTTCTTTTGTTTATCTGTCATCAGTTTGTTTAGTGGTGTGAACAACAGATTTTGTACTTGGCTTGTTTATTGTTTTATATAGCTGCGAATCATGCATCAATGTGAATTGCTATGAGAAATGTTATTTTCATAGAAGTAAATTTAGTAAGGCAGTACAACAGAATGTAAATACACGTTTGCTGTCTGAATGTATAACCTTTAAAATGTTTACAGTTCACTTGAAAATGTGAATTTGTTCATGACTCATGTTTAAATTGTGTAAGTGCCTCAATAAATGATTTTAAAGTTACCTATTTTGATGCACAATTAGAACATTTCATTGTATATATTGTGTATATTTTATTTATTTTTTCATTCCTTTTAATTACAAAATATCCTAATGATGAAAACTGGGCGCCTTTTATTTTAAAATAAAGCTTTTAGTTCCATTTTCTAATTTTTATGGCAGGGTCTTACCATGAATATATATAGATACATAGCCTATATCTATGGGATTTTACAAACGTACATAAATGTAAAATTTACATACATTTAAATGTATTATTAGTATTTATTGTTTTATGATTTAATTATTTTTTATTAAACTATTTTTTTAACATTTATTATTTATTTATTTTCAAAACATTTATAAGAAATCACTAATTTTCTTAGCCATAGTTCCTCATTTGATCGTCATGTTGTTATTATTTTAGGGGACTTTTATTTTCAGGACGTGCTGTGAGAGCATCGAGTCATCGACTGGCTTCACCGTCCTCTGCGGTTGAACAGCAGAGAGTAGCCGGATGCCTCAGCACAGTTTTTTGAGTCGATGAACACCTTTATAAAGCCGAACGGTTGTTGTGTTTCACTTTTCGACTCGGTAAGTTATACATATCAAACATATTCGTACGTGACTCCCCTTTCGCGTGAAAAATGTAAAAACAGTATTACCAAGCAGCGGTGTTTGACAATTCATCCGCTTCTCGTGTATTGTTGCTCAGCGCACATTTCACTTGATCCACTAGTGTCTGTTACTACATACATGCAGCTGTCGCGACTAGGATCTGGCCTGCTATTCCTGGCATATTCAGCCTTGTTAAACATGACACGTTTGACGATTTTGCCAATGTATGAGCTTTCTAGCAGCACAAGAACATCATTTCCTGCCGTGTCGTATCAATGATGAAGAATGTGTAGCGACGAGCGATACTGAAAGTCCTCGGAAGGAATCGTGGTTTGTTTATAATCTGCGTTAAGCCAAATCACTGTCATAATGCAGTAAGTTTGATTATTATATTGTCAAATATAATATAGTGAGCTAGTGTCTGGACACACCTACTAAATATCCACAACACACGCGGATCTGACACTGGATTTCCATTTGATTGACAAGTTATCAATGTAATATATATATATATATATATATATATATATATATATATATATATATATATATATATATATATATATATATATATATATAATATGTATGGCAGAATTTAGGCAAGATCTTGAATGTTCGTGATCTGCTATAACAGATGCACGACCGATTATTACATAAGCATCTGCATTGACCGTTGCGCCAGTAACTTACCTCGCGTTATAATGGGAGACTGTGCATAGGTTATTTATTTGCATATATGCAAATTCTAATCACAAAATGACGGTCCTCTCTTTCATTAGTTCTTCAAGATGGTCTTGGACTTTGAGCGAAAATGAAGCGCAGTCTGTTTCTGTGGATCTCGTAGTTAAGGTAAGGACAGTCATTGTTTATGATATCATTAAGATCACTCTTTATTTTATTTTAAGGTACAATACTCGCTATTAACAAGAATAAATCATCCCTTTTGTTGACTTTATCTTTGCTAATTTATGATAAACTCAGAATCGCTGATCTGCTCCAGAAAGGGAGTGCCGATAAATATTATGTAATTCTGTCTGACTATAGGGGTATGGGGTTACCTGTATGCCTGTCAAGGTTTATGTGTTTTTAGCCATATTTCTGGCATTGAAGGTTAAAGGCAGGTGTAGATGTGCACAAGGAGGAATGTCAGAGAGCTTTATGTCTTCCATCTTGTCAAAGAAGCAGAGCTGAACACTGCATGTCTGAACACTGTTTCTCAAGTCGGAATGTTCTTGTAAATTATTCCAGCTATTGAATAAATACAATCTGCCATTGACTTTGTTTCCATGGACATATTTATTTGCATGCACATTTTGGGATACCTTTAAAAAAAATTAAGCCTTTGATCAAATCTGAAAGTTCGTTCATGAAAAATGTGCTCTGTATGTTGTAGCAGCACTTGCAAAAATGTTTAAATTAAATGTTTATCATTGATATTTATTATGTTATATTTGATTTTATATTTTTATCAATCAATTTAATAGTCATTTTAATGTTGTTTATTACTGACTGGATTTTGTTTAACTTTCCATTATATCTTTATTTTATATTCCCAATTTTTACAGTCATATTTTGGCATATTGAATGAGAAAGCCAATCCTTGGATAAAATCTAAAAAGTCTTATGAGGAATGTGTGCTGCTCATTGACACTATTCTGCAATGTGAAAGTTAGCTTTTTTCAGCAATTGTTTTAGAACTTATTATTCGTTTGCTTGTAGGGAAACTACAGGCAATAATAAATGGCAATAATCAGTCAAACTACTTGCTCTACAAACTACTGTTAATAATGATACATAGAAATAAATATAATATAATAAGAAAATATACATTTGCACCATCAGTACTGCAGAATAACATGCTGTGAAAAATCAATGGAGGTTAATGATACTGGAAGTGTTGAGTCAAGAAGGTTTGAATGTCTGCACCCACTCATACGTGAAACAATAAGATAAGTTGAGGACATTATCACAGCATCGTGCAAGTGCAAAAAAGGCTAATAATGAAATTAATATTTTAATTATTATTTAAAATAATTTTTCTATTGTTTATTGAGATTTTTAAAATTTTAATGATCATTTTTTTTATCTTCCCAGTATTTGGATGCAATTTATCATTTTTCAGCTATAGTCTTATATACAACTTTATAAAATGCTGATTGCAATGTAGGCAAAGGGCTAGTTTAAGATTCTGATTTTATGATAACCTTGAATAAAAAATCACGGTATCCAGAATTGTGACAACTGTTTTAAAATATATTCTTTTTAAATGTCTGTGTAAAAAATAACAACTTTCCCCATTGTACTTGATACATTTTTTTTTGAAAAATTTAAAATATTTTGGCTTTTAAAAAACATTTCAGGCTACATAAATATCATAAATTATTGACTTCTGCTGTCAAACACAGATTTCTTTACAGCTTACTCCACTGCACTGTTTAGGTCTGTGGCATGCTGGGATGTTGATATGTAAATGTTTTTTTTTTTTCAGATGTTTTCTGAATCGTGGGCTTTTGCAGTAGCTGTTTATGTGGATCCAATTTTTAAGCTGGAGATAAAAAATAAATTAAACATAAACAATAAAAAAACATCGATATTAGTATAACGGTACAATAAAACGGTATAACAGAAAGTTTTTGACTTTTCCAAACCACGGTAAACCTTAAAAACAGTTATCAGAAGATAATGCCAATCAGAAGATAAAATCTAAAAAGTCTTATGAACTTAAAATCTGTGCTGCATTTGAAGTGTATGTTGTTTTAATATGATAACAGTAATACTTTATTCACATAGTAAATTGTATAACTGAATTAGAGTTGCAAGATATTGTAATGTCAGTTTTTTTCCCAATATTTTAATTTTAGTGATTTATATTGAAATATTTTAACAAAAAAATTGAATAGCTCAATGAATACTCTTATAGTTTTTTGGAATGATTTTGTAAAGGGCATGCAGAAAATATATTAATCTACCAGCACAGATAAATAAAATAAAATAATAATAATAATAATAATAATCAATGTACAATAAAAGTTTCATAGTCTTCAATGTGTAAATAATTATATAGAATTAATCTTTGTTAAAGCTACAGAATTTAATTATTCCTTGAAAGCCGAAAGCTTTAAACTTGCTTAAAATGCTTAGTCACAGGCTTTAAAAACACATGCAACTGATAAACTTGAAATGTATTATTTGTAAACAGAAATGACTCTACAATTTTCATGCCTTCTGAATTGTTGTACCTGGTCAACTATAATCCTGATTCCACATTGCAGATCCTGCGATTGAAGATTCACACATTGTGATATCGATGCCAAAAGATTTATTGTGCAGCCCTACTAACCAGCATGTAACTCAACAGATTATTTGATTATTATCTATAGATTATTTCAAAGCAGCAGGAGTAAATTTAGATTTAAAGCAAAAAAAAAAACTTGATAAAATTTCTTTTTTGCAACGCTTTTAATTAATTTAATTTCAATGAAGAGAGTTCGATGAGGTTATATTGGTAATGCGTTTATTTATTTTTTCATCATAGCTGAAAAAATAGTTTTACTAAACAAAGGACACAGCAGCCTTCAGTGGCTCTTGAAACTGTTCGCTAATGGTTAGGCCTAGAGTTATAGGAAAACATTTAAATAGTCTCTAAAGGCTTGTCATATATTAGGTAACCGCTCAACAGGATGTTATTTCTTCTTTCTACTCCACCTCTCTTCTCAGGGGATGTCGGAATGAGATTGACGTATTGATAGACTCTGGATGCTCATGAGCTCATAATGAAGAATGCATCAGCTAACAAGATGGACGATGCTACCTTACACAAAGCCAAAACTTAACCTTTTAGCTAGACATTGATTTTGGTTAAAATCAGCCATTAAATCATCTGTCACCACCACGCTGTTGATGTCAGTAGATGTGCAGCATTACCTCACAAATGGAGAATGGCATAATGTGCGTATGTAAATGCCATCTCCACAGTTTCAATCTGCTCAGAGTGACCATCACTGTGCTCGTAGTCAGATGATACTTTTAAGTTGTTTTTAATGGCACATCGGAAAATGCATTTAATGCTCCATATGAAGAATTTACAGCTACAGGGAGTTTTCTAGATGTCTTTTGGGGATTGTGCCAGCCTTTTCTGAGTAATGCATTCTGCCCAACTGTTGAGATAAAGAGGGAAAAGGACAGTGAAAGCGAGAAAAAATAAAGATCAGAATCACAAATTTGTAGATGTGGACAGATGGACTGATTAAAGATTAAGCAAAAATGTGTGTGCACAGTGCACCCTTTTTAAGAGATAGATGACTATTAAATAATATTCAAAAAATTGTCATTATAATCTCACACTTTAGTCAATCCAGACCAATTTATGAACATAAGCATTATATTTTGAAAAATATGGCGAAAGCTTATTTTCATAAAGTTGCTATAAAAAGAGGATTTTCATATTTAAGAAATATTGTAAAAATACAAATCCTTTGTTGGATTTCAAGATTTCTGAAATAATGCAAATTAATAGTTCTAAATAATTTTAATGTACTTAGTAAAAAATAAATAATAGTTTAGTTTTGTGTGTAAAAATACTCCTGAGCAGTATTGAGGGTAACGCGTTAGAAGTAACATGAGTTACTTGATAATGTTTCTTAAGTAACAGGTAAAGTAACACATTACTTTTAAAAAATACTGCCTCTTCACAATAGGAGTGATTTTCTAGTTGCCTGTCACTTTGGGTGGCAATCTGCTCTAAATGCAGATCTGTGTAGGTCTACAGCACAGAGAATACAACCGCCCCTGGGCAGGCTGAGAGGATCACATGAGCTCTACTGGTGCTCCTATTGCCTGTCGCTTAAGAAAGTCGCTTTTCATTTGCATAAAGTTGGGGATTCTCATCTTTGAGAATCGCTTGACACACCCACCTGGTCGCCAATGGTTGCTGTCACTCGAGTAGGTGGAGGTCGCCAGAAGTTGCTCACTTTCTTTTTAAATAAATGGTCGCTTGCTGATTTTCTTCTGCCTGTTGATTGTAGTGTAAATGAGGCTTAAGTAATAATATTTGAGTTGCTTTTTTGAAAATGTAATGCAATTTAATTTTAAAAATAAATTGCTGAATTAAAATTAAAGTAGTGACAGTGAATCACGTAGTCATGGAGAGAATGTGTTCATTATTTTGAACACATCGTTGAACAGGAAAAGGGGGTTGTCTCAATGGACAGTGATTTTACTTAAGACAAATAAAACATAAGTAACAAACTTGTTGCTTTAAAAGTTCAATAATCTGCATTTACGACACGTATAGCTGTGATGCTGTAATGCATTACTTGCCATGGAGTAACTCAATATTCTAAAGTAATTTTCCCCAGCACTAATCCCAAGTTTCTTATTGATTAACATTTTTTTGTTTAAATGTGAGGTTTGTTTAAAAATTCACCATCGATTTAAAAATAATAATAATAATTTATGCATGATAAATGTCACGTATGACTGATTCAATGCATCCTTGCTGAATAAAATCATGATCTGCTTTTAAAAATAATCTACTAACTCTTTATTTTTAGACAATAATGTATTGTAAGGAATATTTCAACATTTGAAAATGAATCTCAAAATAGTAATATGATAACTATAACTGTTAAGGTACATTATTATAAGGTACATTATTAGTCTTTATTTTTAACTAACATGCAAAGGAGAGCAGATTTGTAGAACTAACTATCCATTATGAGCATTTGAATTCCGTATAATCCGTTTCTGCTAAAACTTTTTGCACTCACAGATCCGATGGGCAAACAATCAGTCTTTGTTCTATCCACCAAGAAAAAAGGAAAAGCCAAAGCATTTTCCAGAAATTTTCT